GGTAGCTGCTGTCTTCCCTGATGGGGACGCGAGACGGCACAAACCAGTGGTTAGACACCCTGACAAATATGGCTGCTTCACTCAGTCGTTCCAACAAGGTTATCGTCTTTAATGCGTAGCTTTCTTCTTCTGTCCTACCGGCCATACAAATACATTTGTCGTCAATGTGCTGATTGGGCCATCGCCTTCAATGCGTGGCTCTCATTCAACTGTTCTTCTTATCTTCCGTGAACGAAGCTGCAGCACCCGGGGCCACTGCATTTCGGTGGAAGTTCTGTGGGCTGGAAAGTTGAACTGAACTGAACTGAGATGGGGCAAGTAAATGCTGGCGGACGTAACCAGCCTGGACTTCTGCTGCCGGTTCCTCTCAAACAGTGTCATAGTATGCATGAGGACTATTTCTTCTGTAAGTACCATAACGGTACATCGAATCTTTGAACACATTTTTGTCCGGGGACGACCGAAAAGCCTCCGATTTGATCAAGAACATGGCCCTCAGTTTTTTTCGGATTCCGGATGGGAACCTCTTTGTAGCGAACACATCAACTGTTATTTATTGTCAGAATCAGCAAATTCAGTCACCTGCAGTGAAACAACAGATGCTAAATGGCAGTATCTCAAAACAATCAAGCCGTAACCCGCATAGTGTATAGACTTTTCCGTTTTTGTATGACACTTCAGGGATAGAGTTACCAGCTTTGGTACAGAGTGAATCATAGGCACAGCACTGAGTAAAAAAGACGACGAGGTAACTTTGAATGGCTGACGTGACATAACTTTCTCAAAGTGAAGTGAAATGAAGTCAAGTCAGGTCAAAGAAAGAGAAGGATTTATGCGCCCAGACGGTGCCTACAGGTGATGTGCACTACGTCGAGCAGATATTTTAATTGTTTATAGACAGACACTGTGAGAATGTTTGATGGAAATCGTTGAACACACTTCACGCAGTATAAAAATGCTCACATCGACAAGCTCGCAACCGCATTATGGATAAAAATTGGCCTAATACGTTCCATTAAATGGGTGTTCACTATGACCGCAACTGATACCGGTCCCTTAGTGGCAGCCTTTAGGTTTACAAGGGACCTACTGCTCCCAAGAACGGCTGCTAACACATGCTTGTTGCATCATCGCCGCATATGATAGCATGACCCGTGCCGACACAGTAGACTAGAGCTTTGCTGTATAACATATGTTGTATTCGTATTGCACTACTCATAAGGTTGCTGAAAATTCTTTGACAGCCCACAACCGGTTTCGCCCTTCTTGGGGCTCATCAGGCAGGCGCAGTCCCCGGGTTTCCGTCAACCTTATGTTCCACTTGAAACCGGATTGCACGAACTCGGCGAAATACAATCATTTGCAAATTAATTTGGTTTCGCGAGAGACTCATCTGGAACCCAACTGAATCTCTCGTTTATGATGTTTCCATGCATCTGAATGTGCTGCATCAGGCCGCCTGATGTTTCATTTACTGTCGAAGAATTTTCAGCAACCTTTTAAGTAGTGTGCCACATCTAGACATGCTACCGTTCTTCAGCATGTCCATAAATTTTACACAATGCTTCTGTTATTTTCGTAGCATCAGTATCAGCAGTCAGCTTCGTCCAAGCAGTGTAATCTGAGTTTATTAGGTTTCATAGATTGCACACGATTGGGTGTTTATTTCCCCAAGTCCAGAGGCGACGAGGATGCGTACGATGGATATCGGAGCACACCATACTGAGATTTCAGGCAAGCGCGGCGCACCCCTGCCCTTATGTCGAGTGTGGATCAGCGGTTCGTCTCCCTATCTGCATCAGATTGACTCATCCGAAAAGGACGATGACAGTGTCCGGGCTTTGATTGAGATTTTGCTCGTGGTAAGTCTCATGATACGAGCCTTGTTACGCGATTGCACAGGGAAGCTGGGACAGCCGGGACCTATTTAATATGATGATACGAGGTCCTTCGGTCTGTAAATGTGGCTTGTAAGCGTGACCTCACAACCTAACAACAGTATTAACAACAGTATTAAAGAAACTTCCGTGTGTGAAGTTTAGGGCATTCAATTGCGGAATCTGAGCAACTAAATTCCGCGTAGCTAGTTATTGTTAGGTGTACATTCCGAAACCTGTACCACGGCCCAGCTGTGAGATGTATTCATACCTATCGACCAAGACAGGTTAAATAGCATGAAATTGCCTATGACCGCATGCAGCGGCCATAGAGGTATTTCGGTGAATGTGACAACATGGTCGTTCTGGTTTCAATTCAAGAAGTCCCACATCTGTTTTAACTGATTCTAGATTAACTTTATGTAGTGTTTCGATCGAGTGATTTTTGCTGTCTCTAAGTGGTATCCAGCCACATAATAAGTTGACAAGTATTTATGGCAATGGATCCTACATGTTCAACAGTACCGCTATCTAAAAACTGACTAAGGATGAATTTCTGGCGTACACGGAGATCGTAACGACGAATGTGAGTGAAACAGTTTGAAAAATAAGTTGATAGCTCCCAGAGTTCCCATTCTTCTGAAGCCTCATTTTTAACAGAGAAGTGAAACCCGAGTGTCATTCTTCAAACCCTGACGGAAGAAGATTGGGGGGACACAGAATTTTGCGCGTGACACAAATGTAGAAGACCGGAAGTATTGGGCACCGTCCGGCGTCAAGGCCATATCCGACAGTAAGCATTCGCAACCTCATCAGTGATGGAATCATACCGGTAAATCACATTTATAGTATAGAAATTGTGCTACATTCCATTTAATGACACCTTGTTCATTCGGGATCCAAATCTGTGGGAGGTGTAGTTTAATGGATCATCATTTGGTTCATCAATTCGTGCAGCTGGTTTGGATTTCCGGGTCGTCTATTTGCTTTTCGTTGCCAACTCATCTTAGACCGAATCCTATTTTATTGTATTTTATTATATATATATATATATATATATATATAATCTGCAACAGCTCTTTTTTAACATTATTGTCAAGCCAGCAGCGGTGCTTGAAGTTACCTTCCACGTACACGAGTGCATGGACTATGCTGATCATTGGCTAACAATTTATGCATCTTTTGAAAGGTTTTCGTGTGTGGTATGGGCGAAGAAGCCAGTCTGAGCGTGTGCTCTGAGTCTCAACCGTCCCCCAGAGTTGACAGTTTTGAGGCGTACTTTAGAACGTCACCCTTCTGCTCACCTTCCAGCCTCTCCCTTGGGCTGACATCCGGTGAAGTGCATTCTGCGTTTCAGCATTTCCCATTGAGCGCTGGAATCCCACGGCATGTAACAGGCTGATTCGGGGCTGGATACCAGCCCACTGTAACAGACGACAAGGGTGAAGCGTTTGGTTCAAAGTACGTCAACTGAAGGGATCGAAGTCTGTCAGTCAATCACTTTAGCTTTGCCCTTAGAACTTTACCACTCAAAACACATGATCCATGGCAGTACATGGCGGTGAAATTCAGTGACCATGGCGACCGTTAGCAGCTTGACAGTGCATCGGGGCTCATTGAGGTACTTCAGTCAACTTAAGGAAAAGATGGTCGCCCCTCTTAGCATCCACCGAATGCCAAAAGAAATCAACCCTACTGCTGAAGGAGATAAAATACGAATTTTCGCACTCTTGCGCCTGCCCAGCGCACCCGTTACATTGTAGATTTGGACAACCTCACTTGCGAGTATCGTAGAGTTGGACTGTTTGCAATATGGCATGGTGAGGCAATTGCCATTTGTCTTCCGCTGTCGGTAACATGCTGATTCGGAATGTTGCCCCCCTCCAGTAGTTATCAAGCACGATAAACGCAGCAGCCAAATATGTTTTTGGGGAGAGCCAAGTCGATGTTCTGGTGCTCGGGCTGATTGATATTCTTAATCTGATACCAAACAAGTTCTCCATTCAAAAGGAACGGAATTCTGCAGACGAAAAAGGAACTTGACAGCGTGGAAGATGCAGAATTTGTGGTTTTGAGTGAGGCGCTAGAACTTCACTTATATTCATTCTCTAGATTTGGCTAGCTTTTTGCTGAGTTCAGCGTCAGTGAGATCTATCGTCCGAGTTAGATTACACAACTATCCACATGAAGTATGCTTTATCCAGGAAAGAACACCATTAGGGTGAATGTTGTCTTCTATTAGGGTTCTGTTGTTGAAAGAAGGGGATGAATGCTTGGTGTGGAGGAGACAGAAATCATAGCAAGCCTTTCAATCTCCACCATTCGGTGAAAGTTGTAATCTGTCTTAGGCTCTATATATATCAGTGAATCACTTCCTGTCGGTTGAAGTTGAGCATAAAATTGATGGAAATTGGAGGGAAACGCCGAGGAAGAGGGAAAGGGGCACTGGTCTGTCGGAAAGTTTTCGATAACCTTAGGAGTGGCGCGTTATGTCGGAAGACTCGAAATGTAACACTGAGTACATGCATGTCAAACAGCTTTAATCCACATCAAATATACACTTGCATGTGATTTATTGTTCATTCGTCGTAACCTTGATCTCTCTGTCATTGTGATAGCAAAGGATCCAGGCTGCTCATCTGTCTCGTGTGTCCCTCTAGAATGTTTGGCTGCCTGTGTCGATAGGTTTCCCCCCGAAAATAGGCGCTAACACTATATCTGCTGATTATCCGGTTTTATGGGACCGTGTTGTCATGCCACACAAACTTTGACATCAAACATAGAAACAACTTCATGAAATACATCTCGAATTTCGACAATACGGCGTTTATCCGAGCTTCTGCTCATCGGTGCACACTAGATATCAACGCGGAAGAATATAGCAGCGAAAGAAAGAAGGTCTTCACTGCGTAGTTAGTTGTTAAAAAAACACCAACTGAGCAGTTACAGACTATTGAACAGGGAGCAAAACTGTCATATGCATCTTGCGAATATCCATCTTCTCCTTGAACGCGTCTTCCTGAACTTTCCTGGATATTCACTGACTGTTGCTCAAATCCAAGCAAATGCGACTCCACAAGTTCTGTAATTGATCTCACTTTTCAAGAGGCGCAAAGCGGATTTATGAGAAAACATACTACTCGCTTGTCCCCATCAGTAGTATCACCGCTACGCACCTACCCCTTTAAAGGTCGTTCGCATGCCACCGATTTTCGCTTACCTTCATCAGGTCGACTTCGGCAGCAGGTCTGCTTGGCCGCTCTTCGGGTGTATCATGCCACTTACGAAGCTGCGTACATCATCTCCGTTACATCAGTAGTCAAGGGCAGTGTGAAATGACAACGAGATGCTCGGTGAATTTGCAGTTGTTTTCATGATCATAGGCTGAAAAAATATGGGAAACGATGCACTCCGGTGACACAGCTTCTTTTAGTTGCCAGACGTGAAGCGGACTTTCAAATCAGAGCTGCACCTGTTCCCAGCTCACGGTTTGCCCAGTTGAGAGCATCAGGTATTCACGCACTAGACGATTCAACTGGGTTTACGTGTCATGACAGCACTCTGTTTTGTACTCTGAAGGAATTGATCATTCCACCTTACCATCCACATTCCAGCGGTCTGACGATACGACTTGTTCATTTTAGTGAACAAACGCACTAGACGATTCAACTGGGTTTACGTGTCATGACAACACTCTGTTTTGTACTTCTGAAGGAATGATCATTCCACCTTACCATCCACATTCCAGCGGTCTGACGATACGACTTGTTCATTTTAGTGAACAAAAAGTGATGAAGCCGAGAGGCAGCGGAAAAATCCAACACTTTTTGGCGCTCATACCAGACGATACAAAATCAACAAATGAGGTGATCTACGACCAGTGCACTCATCTGCACACCGATTGGTTTTTCATGGGAAACGCCCCTGAAACCCAGACGAATCACTCGTTAATGACGTTCTTCTTCAACTGAATGTGCTGTACCAGGCCGCCTTATGTCTCACTTGGTACAATACCGAATCAGTAAGAACTCCGACCGATCTAGTTCTCCATCAACGTAGGCAACTTGTCCCTGGACCCACCGTGGAGAATCAAGTGTTCCATTTGTGGGAACTCACTACAGAGAGAGATAAATTACTGGGCAGTATGGGGCCAATTCAGGCCTGCTTACTCACAACATCCTCGGATGGACCATAAATTTTCTCCGAGGAGAATAGACGGATGGACTAGTTACACAGTGTGTCGGAAATGTGGATCACCCTGGCTGGTCATGACAATCAGATGTACACAGTCGCCTAACCATGCCACTATATTGGACAGAATGCTGATACGTGAAATGCAGCTGTATTCTCCATGTTGATCCCCGCATCACACCAAATACCACCTAGATTACTTGGTACCAACCATTTCTTCAGACAATACGTCATTTTTAGAATTGGACAAGAGGCTGTTTGGATTTCTTGTGGTTTCATTGGTAGACTCTACTTGTCTCCAGCCTTCTAATTGATTCCTACCCTATATTAATCAAGATGTTGCTGCATATTGGGCATCCGAACGTTCTGATACAGGCGGGCTGGGTGATAGCTCTTTGCAGGACAGTCACACCATTAGTGGTCTCTCCTGTCCCACAATCCGAGTTCCAACGGTAAGCCTTGGTCATGCGCTTGTGGATGAGGGTTTCGGAACTGAAGACCGATGTCCATGGACCAATCACCGGAAAAGCAACTACCAGCTGACTTCACGGAAATACTTCGCTTTCTAAAAAGCTGCAGTTTGTTTGTTGTGGCCGAAGCTACAACGGCAATGATGTGGTAGCGGAGCACAGTGCAACAGGACGATCAATAGCACGTGCATTAATTAATTTTATGACTCAGCCAGTCCAAGCATCCCACAATATTCGTGACTCAATAAATCCACTTTTCGTTACGGCTGATGGATCACGGCATAACGAGGGATGAAATAGAATAACCGTGTCCACAAGCCCCTGAATGGCGGAAGATGAGAGTGTCTTTATAACAAATTGCCTATCTGGAGCCTAAGCCATATCTGTTTATTTACACCGCCCGTGTTTGAACAGTCCCCTCCTGTTCAGAGGCGGCTAACCTTGTCATTTCATGAAAAGATTCATGTTTTGCAGCGTGCCCTGTTAAAGTCGACCATCTTAAAAGAGAGATTCACTTGAGTCTCCCGTAAGAACCAAATTAATGCGTAGATGAGTGTGTTTTGCGAGTAGCGCGCCAGTTAGGGTAGAATCGAACAAAGGGTTGACGGAAACTCGGGAACAGTACCTACCTGATCAACCATAAGGGGTTGAAACTGGTCGAAGAGTTTTCAGCAGCGTTATGAGTAGTGTTCCGTCGGAAAGAGATCTATGTTCGAGCCAACCAGTGTGGTACATCTTCATCTATGTTGCAAGGTTACCTGTCCCCGCAACCAGTGTCTGCTGAACAGATCCAAATTAGTCCGTTCAAAGAAGTGAAAATTACCATACTTGGGCCACGTGTATCGTTAGGCTATAAGCCACCAATGATGATTCTATTGGGCCTGGTGGTTGGGTTAGTAAATTGACGGGGCGTCTTCTCATATCTTCATCCCCACATTTATTGTACAAAGCCATTTAGAAGGGATTTTTGCTCTGAGTTTCCGGTAACGCCCCCTGGAGGCATTTTCCCACGAAACGAAACCCTTTATAAAAAATCATTCAGCTGTAGCGCACTTTCGGTGCCCAACTGCCATGTCACCCAAGGGAAGCACGAGGGTTGGGCCGGTCTAGACAGGAGAAGCCTAGAGGTCGGGTTCGAACCACGGATCTTCCAGTCAGTAAATTCGCGCTCTGAGCCATCTCGCCCAAAACTAACTTGGCCTTCATTACATAAAATAAGCATTAGAATGTGCTGATGGTGATGTGAGGAGATTTAGCGATTGTCCACTGAGATTTCGTCCTGCAGATGAAGCCACTCCATGCTTGACAGCGGGGAAGCGCTGTACAGTAGTGTCATCCTTATGGGGAATTATCAATAGCGCCGCACATCTTACGAAACTCCAGGTATATACAAACCCATGAACTTCCGGTTAGCAGTTCGATCGGCGACGAGCGGCTGATCGGCGTTGTGATTAACCTGCACTTGGATAGGATACGACTCCCCCAACCACGGAAACCACATCACGTGGTTACGTATTGAGTGGCCCCTCGAGTGACGATTTCTGAGATGAAAGCTTCACTTGTCTTGTGATACTGTTGTTCTTCCGAGTTACTTATACACTGATGGCAGTGTGAGATCTGACAATTTTTGGATGAAATTTCGTCCTGTATGTGATGTATGCCCACGCTTTTGAGAGCATGATTATACTGATTTAGTTGAGCAGACCGGTCTGAGTAGCGTATACACGAATCTCGAACTTTCCACCTTGAGACGTGCTGAACATTCTCGGCGCTTCAGATTCCACATTCACATAGTATGCGTATCTGTTCTTCGCCCTCGACTTTTAATTTCCGAAAACAGATTTCTTACCGCACCGTACATCGCTGCACCATCGATCTTCCGGAGAATATCATTTTTGTAATGCAAGCACCACGAAAGCCTTAGTTATTGGACTTGTGTTATCCACACTTACCATTTTTGACCCAATGTCAAGGTGTGCAAAACTAGTGGCAGGTTCGAATTTCCACTTGAGGGATACGCACTTTTGACGGTTCTCAAAAAGGATGAGAGCGAGCTGTGCGCTGCTTCTAAGGCCTTTCAGTCTCGATCGTCGAACCTCACATTCTATTGTTATTTGTTCTTTATTGAATCAACTACCGAATGACCGAATTAGAGTACCGACGGGTTTTTTGTAAGAAGCGATCAACTTTGGGGATTTCTGAAACGAGTATGAAAGTAGACGATATTAGCGCAGAAGTGTTTGAGCTCATCCAATTACGTGAATTATCGTCCCAGCAGTATCTGTCATAACACTGAAAATGGGCAGCTATCACAGAAGTTATCAGAAAAATATAGTAAGCCACATGAGTGATGGCTTTTTCAGGACTGAAGACATTCCACCCCTATTACTGACGCGCTGGTCACCCACTTGCCCGACACGAGTCATGTGATTACTTCTAAACACCCTTTTCGAATATTGTACCAAGCGCCTATCTACCCACTAAGATCCGATCAATATCAACGTCTCGCCTCAACCGGGGCAACTGCGACTCGCTCGCGCATCTGAGCACTCAGAAAGCATTCGTAGGTGCACTTAGTCTACTATGGTCCGCCCACGTGAGTACTGTTCACTCAGGTCGATCGATCGTGCAGTAAACAGTTTTCGCACTTTTACCCGCAGTGTCCGATTTATCCTCTTTTTGTCTGTATCGAACAGTCGCTTTTGCTCTTGTAATCCGTCGATCTGCATTGATCAGAGAAAGAAATCACGCAAAACATTAATGCATCTCGATTTGTGTTCCAAAAAGCTTACTTACTTCTAAATTATTTGTATTATTTTGAAATTCTACGAAAATACGACCATGTATCCCCATGTATCCTCTCAATCATGTCCTGAATCAACCTGGTCGTGAACTACAGAACCATGGTACAATGCATCCAAGGTGGTTTGATATTCACGAACTTTAGAGTAAACTTATGTAACCCGTCTTCCGAAGGGACCAGAGAACTACGCGCGACTCTTTTTGTTGCTGAAATACAGCTGGTTACACGACCAAAGGTGTTCTGATTAGGGAGCGGCTAGCACTCAGTGAAAAACCCAATCAAATGATCGACGGGTCAGCAATAGGATGTGAATATACGATCAACTAATGCGCATGCGATTATCCATCAATCTGGGTTAAATGAGGGGAAAAATCAAGTCACAGGAATTATTAATTTCTGAGTGACTTTGAAATACCTCAATATAGGATGAAGGGGAAATAGCATTCGCTATTCATGTGGATCTCCATGATTCCATTTTCACCCGGGAAACAATGTATACCTTGGTGCTGCATTTCAAGCAAATCAGATTGCGAGTGCATCACCACGTGAGCTCAATAACCTCAAGGCCACATTGTGTACAGCGTGTGATCAGATTCCCCTGAACAATTGAGTCCATGCTATCAGAAACGGCGTGGACTATGGTCTGGCTACCGCGAATGAGTTTTTGATGACATATAGTTATAGAATATGTATGGTAAGTAGTATACTGTATAGTTAATAAAATCTAGTGTGCTCATACGTAGTTAAGAAAGTTGGTAAATATTCACTTCTATCGTTGACTTTCGGTACTAGGACCAACCGAAATGAACATATTGGATATGACTGCCACATAACCAAATCGGATTCCACTGACTCTCCACGGAGATGCTTTTCTTGGAGGTTGCCGTGAGTAGTGCACCTTTAATCACGCATAATTTGTTGGCGGAATAATTCAACTAAATAACAGATTTAGAATCCTCAGCTCTAATATCAATTCGCAGCCTCTTATGCCGTCTAACGTTATTCATCGCTCAGTGAAACCATCGCGCCGAATCAACGTCAGTTGTGAAATTTTTCACACCTTGTACGCCATTGTACGCAAGGGCTCGAATAAGTTTGATAGTGATTTTATCAAATAGTATTAAGGTGGGCACCGCACAACAAACAACACACTGAGCATCACGTCGCTAAATATGCTCATCTGTACACCAACCGGGATAATGGAGCTCCTGAAATGAGGTTGACAAAAAGAGCATTCGCGCATGTGCGCGCGCGCACTGTCTGTTCCAGAAGGTCGTCTTTAACAGCGGTACCGTACCTATTGGCAAAGATGGCTGATTATGATGAGACAGTTCTGTTCGCTGTTCTGCTTCCGCAGATTGTGGCTACTCAAGGGGTTGACAAGCAGCCCGAATGGTGTCAAACTGCCAATCGTGGTGCTGATAGTCTGTTTCAGCACAATGGCACAACTCACACGCGCCACTTGACCGAGCGTCTGGGGTACACCGAACGGCAAGCAATAATGCTGGAGAACAATAAATGTGACAGCACAAAAACTGGAAGGCGAAATAACGCTTATCACAAGCACATATACTGTATGAATGAGTCAGTCCCAGAAACACACACAGACAGACACGAGAGCCGTTTGACGGGTTTGTGGTGAGCGAAAAACAGAAGGATCGGGTCCAGTTATTGTAGCACAGGCAACAGACTTGACGCCCGCGATTGACCGGATGTTTGGCAGTTCGGGCCTGGTCTACAAACCGCTCAGTTAGACAACATGGGCGCCGCACCTGGAGAGAGAGAGAGAAAAAAAAACACCGATAAAAATTACTACTACAATTGAACGGCATTGACACAAAACTGATAAACAATATTTACAAAGTACAGTCGTCAAATGTGTACCAATCAAGCTTGTGCTTTTCGAAGAAAGGATCATACTCCTATCATTTTGAGGGAGGTTAGCAACATGAACAATTTCTACGGTTCGTGTGCTTTCAACACTGCTCACTCAAATTGTCCCCAATTGTTACTTTTGTTCACTACCTTAATGCTCCCACCAAAAATACCGTTTTTGTTGTGATTTCCCAATAAATTGACCGTTTCGTAAATCGAGATGATTTGTTGAAGAACCCTCATTCAGTGGTCCGGATACAAACTTGTGTGAACATTTAGCCAATGTGGCAAAATTTTTTGTCGTTTCACTAAGGAAAGACAGCATCTGACGTCATGATTTGTCAGTGACGAGAACTAATGGCGCTAATATGCTTTTGTTGGGGGGCAGTGTCAGGTAGTTTCTCCGAAATTTCTTGAGGTTCTGAGGATGCTGAATTACTTCCTCGAGTACCACATTTCTTTTGATTTAATGTCCTGTGTGAATAGTTTCAGGAGTTAATACGGACAGCTAATTGGAAATTCCACCAAATCACTCTGTCGTCAATTTTACAGTACATTAAAGTAAAATATATTGTGTTGCATGCTGATGTATAGTGTAGTACATGGGCACTGTGCTTATGGGGACTCGTCTGAAGCGCGCCTCCCCGTCTGGGGCATGCGGAACGACGTTCCCATCACGTACGATTTGCGGGTGTGGTTCCCCCGAAGGGCTACTGGAAATGGAACAATCTCTTCCTGATGCCAGATTGTTGGATTAGGCGAAAGAACACCAAGTCCAACCATCGAGATGATGATCTCTAAGATTTCATGTTTTAGTGTGACGTTCATATATTTTTCTTCTGCAATCCAAAACTGTTCAGGCATGCCACAGAAGCACGGCCGATGACGACGGGCTTTCACCTAACGTCGATTAGAGAGCCCGGATCAAGGTCAAAAGTGCGCTTTAACAACTGCGATGCTCCTTGTAACTTTTGCTCACGCTTGTTCGCAATAAACCTGTTGTGCTCCTTATTGGCTAGTCCCTTTTTCTGGTACCAAAGCACTGGGGCGAGGACAGCAGTTAGTCACAACAAAAACTAACGCTGATTTCATTGGTAATGTGTTTTGAATGCACCACAAACTCTTGGTGACCATTATTGTTTCAGTCACAAACGCCCTATATGAAGGCATGCCCTGAGTCAACAATGGTCGATATCATGAAACGAGCATTGACTACCGGAGTTGGGACATGACTACACACAGTCAAACCCTTGACTTCAGGTGGGTTTATCCGGATAACAGCGTGAGACGGTAAGAAATGAAAAGGTTCCGACCACGGCGCTTTGCTTGCACTTTCTTAGGAACTGAGAACTGAGTAGATATGGATAGTGAATCGAAAGGTCATGTAAGAACGGCTACTCGGGCCGTTAGCCCAACTGTCAGTTCGACTTGGAAGGCTGGCTTTTCCTAAAAATTCACGACGGAAAACAGGTCGGCCGAATCCCTTCGCACATCTCCAGCCATCCAGATTGGCTTTATTGCTCTTCCTACAACCTCTTCTTTGGAGAGACATTGCACCAAAGAATACCGGACTATTAAACAACGAACATTCAATGCTCATCTTATGGCTACATGTTAGTTTTACAACGGAAATAAAAAATCTTTGTCTGTTGAAAAACAGTATTCGTGTAGGATGGTACAGAGGAACCTGCCGTACATACTGAAAGGGTCCGTGAAAACCGGAGAAACCTAAGTTCAATCAATACTTCAATACAGGTACTCAGAGCGAGTGCATCAGCCGCTTCTCAGAAAAGGCAACAAGTTCTTCCAAGAAACACCTGAGATACCGATATGGTGATCTGGAAGATACACAGGACACGTAATGATGCAGCGGAATCTGAAGAAAGCTTCACCAAAAAACGTCATATTTTACATCTCACAACAACAGTAATTAGAATATCAGGATCGGTGTCGAGTATCTAGGTTCAATTACATTCCTGAAGCACTACCAAGAGCATGCAGGAAATCAGAAGATGACTGATGCTTCTCCGAGTGAGCATTACTTGAGTTCTTGTGTGGGAAGTAAACAGTGGTGTTGGAAAAATCTCTGGCATATTTATTCCTGAAAGATGAGACTCATCGTCCTGTGGAAAGCATGGGAAAGCACATTCAAGCCTTTTTTCTTTCTGGGAAATGTATTGTTTTCTATTTTCTCATTTCCTTGTAAAGACATGTTTATTTTAAATAACTCACTTAACTCTGAGCACTACTCAAACAAGGTTTGATACACAAATAATCAGCATTTGCTCCTGAAAATGGGTTGACAAATTTAACCCGGCCTTGTGAGCAAATGCTACAAGGGTGCAGTAGAAAAACTATCAAAACCCCTGATTTCATCAAATTCCTCAAAACCCTGACATCTGGGGTAACTAAACTGTGTATCTCGACATCTGACCCCGATCATCATCATCATCATCATCATCATCATCATCATCATCATCATCATCAGATTAAGGCCTTATACATGCTGCTTCACAGAGGTAATTTTTACTGGAAAAAGCAAGCCGCACAAAGCGGCTTTGCTCCAGACATACTGTGTTTGTTTTTCTGAGTCTTTTAGCGGATGTTTCGTCACAAGTAGCTGATGCTTTGTCTTTCCGTCCTGTAAAGACAAAGTGGCATTTCATTGCCGTGGAAGACAGACGGCAAGACCAGGAGACACCTGACCTTGGCGTGCTAACTGATCTTACTGAGCTAAACTGTTGGATGACCCGAATGTGGGTGTATCAGCCGTATCCACAGCCACACGTGACGGGATTATTGAATAAGTAAACCGCCGACCTCTTTTCTACTCTTTTGTCGGGCTGTGCCTTGTGTGTGTGTGGGGAGGAGGTGATTGGCTCTTACACGACCGCTCTTGACCCTGGGCCATCACAAAGCGTGGGGCGCAAGTGGTGCTGTTGCTTTCAGTCCACTCAAGACACTCTCTAGACTTGCGTGATTTGGTTGGAACTCTCACGTGACAGGAGAATTCCACCAAGGATAAGTCGGTGAAACAAAATACAGCTCTCGATTGCTTTGTTCATGGAAAGCATGGAAAGGAGTAGATGAGTTAGGCTTCTGCCATGGTGTACGTCATTTAATCTGTGCGGTGAACAGAAGGGGGCGGGTGAGGACTGAAGAGTTAAAAAGTTTGACCTGAACTGGGGTCACCGTGTTTTCTCTACGTATTCCACGCTGGTGTTTTTTAGCCTTATTGCACGCGATCCGTTGATTAGAGAATGCCTGATGATGTTGAAAACTAACAGTGTCACGTCTCATCCTGTAAGTAAAATGAACCCAGTGTGAAAAGCACTCATCCATTGAGAACCACTCACTGTTGCGGATCTCCCCACAGATTCTCTGTTATATTACCGGCGTTCTTGTGGCACTTGACTGTGATTTTAATCGCAGTTCACTGGATCATCGGAGACCTAAGCTCTAAGGTGTCACTCCTACAGTTAACTTCATCCAAAGAGACTGAAACCTTTATCAAAAAAGGAGATTCCATGGTCGCACAAAAGGGAGCACGAACTACCCTCCTTTCGTCAGAGTATACGAGACACAGAGCTTTTAGTGAACAAGGCGCACTTTCACCGTTTCCTGCTAGTGCTAACTCAAGGCCCGACAGTGAACTTTTCTTGGAACCGAGAGCTAACTGCTTGTCCATATAGTTGGCGAAGAGAACGAACAAACAACAATGAATGTCCGCCTAACTGAAATTCTACTAGCTTGGTTTTCACTCAAAATCTTGCTGTATTCTTCAGCGACAGCAGAGATTCGGGTGTTTTTACCCATTTCAAGGTTTATGCTAAGTTGTCCGGCCTCGGGCAAATCTTCTGGCTCGTTTATATATTGGAGGTGTATTCCATGAATACGAACTTGCCAAGAACAATGACCAACAGTCTTCAATTGCGTGAAGCATGTAGCAGGGACACTTGTGCGCTTCTATGTTGTAGTTCATTGGAGCATCCAGAATCAAGAGAGTACAGCTCTTGATGAGAGCCAGAAATAGGACTGAAAGGTTGAAGACATCCCGAATTCCTACGAAACAGGCGAAAATTCAGTATCCGTAAATGAAGAACCAATGGGTGAGCTCACATGAGAACGGCCACTTTTATTCACTTTCCATTAAGAACATCTGAGAAGACTGTGCGTCCACGGGTAAGATAAACAGCACACTCACGAGAGCATCTATGTTCTTTATCAGTGTTAATCTGTCCGCAGATGAGACTGAATCAAGGTAGACCAGTAAGAGAGATAGAGAGAGAGGGAGATCCTATAAAATATTCACAGAATTTTACAGACTACTACCCTCGTCTGCCCGCAGAAAAAGACCACAGAGCGATAAATCTATGGTACCCTTTTGTTGAGACAGATTGCCAGAATTTCCCTCAATCCTTTCGATTTTGTTCATAACGTTCTGACTGACATTTATCCACTTTTGCTTCAGAGCGGCTGCCGACTTACCTCTAGATTCATAGAAGACCTTATTTGTGTATGGGCGAAGAGGGCTAGCCAAACAGTCCAGAATCTTGGTAAGACGGAACAGCTATGGATGATGCCCTGTACCCTTGTCCGGTTCTACAATCTTCTCATGTTCTACTCATGAGTAGTCTAACATCTCGATGTACGCTCGGTGTCTCAATAACCATTCAGTGTTACTATTTTGATGGGTTCGTATCCTCAGATTTCCAATTCTAGGTGGGAATGCATCACACTGCTCAGTCAGCGTCATCATGAGGAGCATTAGACAAACGCGCTAGGGACGACAAGAATTACACAATCAAGTGTCTTCGACAATAGATAGTCGACACCAACAGGGAGACACTCTGACATGGTAATGTGGAAGTCAAAAAGTCCATTGGCGAGTTTGGAGGAATTTTTTTTCAAATAGGGTCAGATTTCAACCATGCGCTGTATAACCCTTTTAGTGTGTGCCCTCTTGGAATAACTAATCCAAATCAGTGGAAGGTACTACTTACAAGTAGTAAGTTAGTATTAAATTGATTTGCAGTTATTAGTTTATTACATCTCTACAAAGGTTTTCTTGCCAGAGAAACACTCTTATTGGGAGCATGCTAAATTACTCATTTGGAAGATCAAAGGCAAGCTCAAGACATTCCACTTAACAGAATACTTCACGAATCATTTTCGTTCGAATGTTTCTTAAGTGTTCTGTCAGTGCGGCCGGCATGGTTAAGTATCATGATAGAACGTTGAGCTTTAGGCCTTCCGTCTCCTTTCGGGGCGGATGAATGCAAACTAACAATGAACCGATTGATCGCAATATCTGAGCTGCTTCCCAGTCAGACTGGGCCATCGACCTTGTCATTCAAAACCCAAACGGTCAATGGAATTTGATGACACTAATAGGGTAGGACTAACTAGGTAGAATGGGCATTTTTAGCTGAGGACGATGAGTGTGATGATGTTTCACCCATTTTAAGACTGTATAGTATTATGAAAGCTGGCATGTGTTTGTTAGGGTATCAAATCGGCAGTGCAGAATGCGCCTTTTTGGTTTCGATCCGCGTATATCATTTTTGTACGAGAATGCGCGCCTCAGAATACCAGTCGAATGGGACTTTACATTTCTCTGTGGTCATCCTATAAGCTGGAAACGAATCACTGTAAAAACGTACAATATGGTGAGGTGCACCGAACCGAATCGAAGTGGCCTAGAAGCACTCTGAGGTGGTTTAGGAACCGTCAGTCGGGTGAATAAACTGACAGTCTAGCAAGGTCAATACTTACTGCACGACACACCGACTAGGCAGCCTGACGGACAATACAGTTTTAGCTCAGTTCATGTCGAGCCTGAATAGGTGACACTATGCCACAGTTCCTCTTTTGTCAAATGTTCCTATTTCATTAGTGGACTGTCTGCTACGACGGTGAGAATCGATGCCTACAGAGGCGATACAATGATAACCAAGGGTGGTTACGTTCTCCCTAATGCGTCTCAACCTGTCTTTAAACGTTTATATACGAATTTAGGGCTGGAAGTATACTTGGCAACGAATTCGGCCTTGGGACCAGTACAGTGGAAACACCAATACGGAACACCTACAGTGCAGCCGGTTATTTTCGCCATCTGGCCCTTTTTGTTAGAGATGGTTGTCACTCGAGGAGCGATTCAACACGTGACCACGTGGTGTGGATTTCGTGGCTGAAGAATGTGTTGAGCTTATCGCGTCGCTTATCGGCCACTAGTGACTGAACGGTCTAGTGTTTAAACTAGCAGCTGGGAGGCTGCGGGTTCGAGACGCCCTGGAGGAGCAGCTGGGAGGCTGCGGGTTCGAGACTCCCTGGAGTCTCGTGAGATGAGCAGTGCTGATTATTGCAAAAAAGGATGAAACAGTTGTTCTCTGCTTCTTGTTATACACTGGCTCCACTTACAGGATGAAACCTTAAATCAATATTCCCTTTCGGCCTGTGAATCATTTCATCAATGAACCAAAAAGGAGAGTAAGATGTGTACTGACGCACAACAAAACTAGTGGCAATAAATTTTAATGTACTAGAAAATCGAATGAACCGGATTAAGCACATTTTTCCAGTTGATGTCCCTAGCTATGAGGTTTCTATCAACAGTCGCCAGTTAATATTTTCTTTCTGGAGCACGAGTTACAAGTTTTTAGATCAGAGGAACCAAAAACAACCATTCTACCCATCAGGATATTCCCCGAAGAGGAATTCCCTCCATCGGAGAGACAAATTTGGAGGTGTGGAAACTGCTTCCACTACAAACAATGTTCTCGGAATCGAAGGAAATGTAGCTTCTTGTTCAACAAGTTATTCTCCCAGAAAAGGATCCGTCGCAAGGGAAGTTCAGTATATCACTGACCAAGACTCAGCAACTGAAACCATCTCAAAGGGTGCCACAGACACAACGTACGAACCAGTGTGTATACGGACAGAAGGACAAGTTGACAGTCAATTTGAAGGCGCCCGTATCGGGGACCAAATGTATTATAATAAACTCCAAGAAGGGGAAACCGGTGGGGGG